AAAGGTAAAAAAGAACTGCAGCATCCGCCGCACAAAACACGTATAAACACACAAAAATAAGCAAAAACACACAAAAACACACATAAACACACAGAAAATACACAAAAACACACAGAAAACACAGAAAACATACAGAAAACATACAAAAACACACATAAAACACATATAAACACACAAAAATACAGTGAAAAATACAGCTAACATCAGCCAGTTTATACAAAAATACACACACGTGCAGAAAACATATAAATAATACGTATAGAGATAGATGCAGGTCTTTTCTTGGACTTTACTCGTCATTAAACTGATTGTACAGATGGGAGGAAATCCAAAGAAGTGCTTCTGAGACGTGCTGGTTTAACGTTTTGACAAAACAAAAGTTTTTTTCTTCATTCTCAACAGTAAAAAGTTTGCATATGTCGTCTATTCATTTGCCCACAAGAAATAACAAATACCTTATTTGTAATATGTGAAAAAATAAAGTGGGAGGAAGCTATTTATGTAATAAATTATTTCATATCGTAACAACTAAGCAGCAGCATAAAAGAGAAACAGGATGATGGGTTTTAAAGGGACACTGGCTGACTTCATGTTCATGCTGCTGCAGGTAGCTCGACTCGTTTCTTATCGTTGGCTGAGCGTTCCTGATGATGTTGACTATTTGGCTGTGATCAAACCAGTTAAAAAATCTAAAGTAACATCTTTACATGCTACTTAAAATGTGCAGTTGAAGTCAGAGTTAATCAAAAGTCTACATTGATCAAAATGAACTAAATATTCAAACTGTAGATATTTATAAAGAAGACAGACACACTGTTCTTGACCCTAGTTGACACCTTCTTAACCCTCTGAGCGAACAAACATACCAGCAGGTTTTAAAAACATCTTGTGTGTGTGTTTTTTTTTTTAAATCACTAAAATGACACCATTTAAAGGCCAGTAGAGTTAAAAATGGAACGAATCCCGATGGAGGTTGATGTACTCCAATGTTCCAGTCAGGAGAATGAACCACATCCGAGCTTAACTTTACAGTCGGATTGTCCAGACGGAGGTCCAGATACGAGGAGGGCTTGATGCTGGAAGGCTCATTAGTTGTTCATAGTTGTGATAATAACTAGTAGGGCTGGTCCCAATAGAACTTTCTGCTCTCTGGATGTTCAGGCCCAATTAATGATGAATATTTGGTGCGGTCGGGGGACACTTCCACCCCGGGGCAGCGCTCTGACGGGGTGGAAGTGTCCAGAACACACAGGCAGTACTTGGCTGCTGATGCTAGTTTAGTTAGCGCTCACACTTCTGTTTCCTCCATCGGTGGCGGCGGGGGAGTGGCAGATACGCTCCACCGTTACCATCCATGTTTACTTCCATAAACACTGAGCACGCTCGCTGCGTGTGACGTCGTCGTGTCCTCTTCTGCGCATGCGGGACACTTTTGGGTCGTATGAAGTTCACACAGCAGATCACATACAAGTCGCATTGAAGTGGAAACGTGAAGGAAGTCACAAAGAAATCCTCATTGAGCATCAAGTCCTGCAGTGTGAACGTAGCCAATTTGTGGGATTGTTCAGTCAGATAATACGCCGTCATCCTGATTGGTGACATTAAATGTCATGTCGGAGTCACAATCCAAGGCTGTCGCTATGTTAAGCCTGTTTTTATGGGTTCTGTTGGGTTTTCCTACAAACCTGTCGGATAGCAGGTTTAGGATTGTTACGGGTCGATTATCAAGTCACGACTGTATTTCATTAAAATCAATTTATTCTACATAAATTTCTATAAATAAATAGAAAACAGCTTGGAGTGATACGATCCCATAAATAAACTAAAAACTCTGCATTTCTGAGCTACTGAAGCGACTCCACTGCGACCAACAGTCATGTGACAAACCTTCAGGGACTTTTTGGACTCAAATTCAAAATGTAAGCACTTCAATGTTCACAGTGTGCAGAACCACGTTTCGTTTTGTTCCAGTAACAACACCTGGAAGAAATGTTGGACATTCCAGATTATTTCAGATTCAGTTACGTGAAGTCGCCGCCCGTCTCCCAGTTTTCTCTCCTTTCAGGCTCAAAGCGAGGAGTAAACTGACTAAGACGGCTAACAGAGCGCTGTACTTATGAGCACGCTATCATTCAGACGTTAGCACCGCTGTGCCTCACAAAGCAACTCAAGCTGTGGTTTATTGTCCCTTTTAGTGCGCTGCTGCATCCAGATCATCCGTGACTATCGTGACAATAACACACGTACGGCTCCGCTTCGTCCTGCTCACTATCTAACCGACTGGACTGACGTGAAACCAAAGGAGATTTCTGATGAGATTAACACAGCAGCACGTGTCTGGTTTTGCACGTTTGTGCATGTCTGTGTGCGATTGTTCAGCTCAGTGAGGACCTGACAGTGTGCGGCCCCCAGACAATGTGTGTAATGATGATGTAATGGGTTAATAACACACACACACAGTAACGACCTGCACAGACCCAGCGCTGACCTCATACATCACCACGGGGGATAACGAGGTCACGTACGTAACCACCATCACCTGCCCCGGTTTAGTGGGGAGGAATAACAGCACATTATAGGTGCACATCAAAAATACCCTCACACACATGTACAGTATCTGATGTCCCACATTAAATCCAGCTGCAAACAACAAGCCAGACACAACACAATAAGGCCTGCATCACAGCACCAGAAGATTACATGTAATCGAGTTTGTGTGACAAGGACCAATGATGATGTTGTATTAAGTAGTGGGAAGCAGGCAGCCATTACCCCTGTGGGGGTCTTTCACAGCTACACCAGCTACTCTTGAAGAATCGCCTTCCTCTGTCCCACATTTCTCTGTGATCAATTCACGTCATCGGGCCATATTTTATTTAACGCTCTATCGTGGAGCTCCCCTCCCTGCGTCCCCTGCAGCTCATTTGCTCACATGTAGCAGGAGAGAATTAAAAGCGTGTGATTGTTGCTTTCCTCTCCGCCCGCCGCTCCTTCCCACGTTTACCGTCTGATGCGGCAGAAACAGCTCAGACGACGTTGGACAGTTTACCAGTCCTTCCTTTGCTCGAGATGCCAGAAATAGAGCTTAAAGCAAGTATAAAGATGCTGTCCACCAGCTCTTTTTTTCCCCACAAGAACCTCTTTCTTCCCGTCTTTCTTTGTGTGAGACTCTTTAATCTCATCTGCCCTCAGGTCCTTATCGCAGCACCATGCACTACCTTTTAAATGATGTACTGTATCTCGCTCAGACAGCAGAAATGGGCAGAGCGTGGCTCTCTGTGTGACTTCCTCAGACCTGTGGAGAGGCGGCGTACAGGCCCAGCCGACAGCCCTCTAAACAGACATGATGCGTCGCTGTACTCGTGCCAAAACTGCTCTGATGCTTTCTGCACCGAAGGAGTCTGACTGTAAATGTGCGTTCATACAGGGAATATGTCACGACTCCGTCTTTCCATCATGTACCGAGGAAGAAGGTGGCAAAATGACTCAGCCACAGGGAGGGAGGTGAGAGCTGAGGAACAAACACCTTCGCAGGTTTATTCGGCACATGTGGCTGCAACTAGCATCAAGCTACAATCCATCCGACCAGCGGCTTTACCCGCTTTATCCTGCAGACGGTTGCAGAGATTTTCCCAGCTGACATGAGGCTGGAGGTGCACACCGGTTCACTACAGGGAAACCTCAGTTAGCCAGTGAACATAGCGCGCATGTTTGCAAACCCACCGGAGAGTCAAGACCTCCACACGTGTTGGAGGAGGCAGTATGTGGCGCTATTGAATCCTGTTTTTATGCCGTTCCATGTTTTACTCACTGTGGACATTTATTTTATTGCAATATACAAGGAAACAGCACAACCACAGCTTTTGTGCAACATGACAAAATAACATATAGATAGATAGATAAATAGATAGATAGATAGATAGATAGATAGATAGATAGATAGATAGATAGATAGATAGATAGATAGATAGATAGATAGATTCTTTGTCTCCTATCTACTCTCAGTAAACACAGCCTGCAGTTCAGCCAATTTGAGCAAAAAAAGTCTCTCATTTTTTCTCAGCGGACTGTTGATTGCAGCTGAGTCGCTGATGGCTTTTTATTTGCACTGACGAGTGCCAAATTTTCTCTTTTTCACCGAGTCTCGGTACTGCAGGTGGTTTATTTTTAGCCGATTTTTAAACAAGACACATGTAATTAAGTGATTTCAGTAAAATATGTCAAAGCTTAGATGTGGATCGTAGAGATGATTAGTTCAAGGGGCGTCAGAAAGTCGAGAATCTCTCTGTTTGTACAGTTTGCAGCTCTGGGATCAGAGGGTTAAAGTTCTGCTGTAACCAGAATGTGTGTTTTAACTGGAGTGGAAGCAGCTGTAGTGGAGCAGAGGTGTGTGGTTTAAATGAACATACGACGGAAAGTCGTGTAAAATGCTACGAAATGATGCCAGTTAGTTTAGACTAATGTGCTAAAACAGCAAACTAGCTAACAGGCCGATGGAGGCAGCAGCAGACCAGCAGCTCGGTGACATTACACGGTTTTGTCAGAGAAGTCTGGAAGTTTAATTGTCTTTATTCTCCGTCTATTGGCAGTGCCAGAACAGTTCCCTGCCCTTGAATCTGTCTTTCCACCGCTGGAACGTTTGTAGGACAACCAATAGGATCAGCCGCTGTCTGATAAGACGCGTGATTGGCCAAAGTCCTCCGTCACCAACCAGATTTTCTAAAGACGGAGCCAAAAGTTTCTGTCAAATCATTTAAATTTACCCAATGACGGTGGAAATAGATACAACCCTTCAAGCCGAGTGCCAAAGTAGATGTACTTATTTTCATTACATTACTGGACTTATTGAAGTATTTTTCTTAACAAATGTCGGCATAGTTTAGAAAACATCAAATATCCAAAGAGGTGCTTGTTTCATTTCTTTCTTTGACCATTGGCTCTGCTCAACTGAAATTTTATGATTCAGGATATTTTCATGTCAATCAAATGAATGTAAAGTCCCAGAAATGTTCGACATGCATCTCCCCAGCAGTTCCACAAATGTTTGCAGAGCAAACACGTCTCATCCGTCTTCACACTAAACAACAAGAGAGTCATTAGTAAAAAGTGACAGATGAATGCATAATGGAAATAACTGGCAGCTGCTGCCCCGCTGTCGACCTCAATCCGACTGATAAACCAGAAATTGGAATGTGAATGCTTGTTTCTCGGTGTCGGCCCGGAGTGCATTGGTACATTTTATCTGGAGATGCAGACAGTTCACACTGCATGGAGAATCAGACGGAGCCGCCAATCCCAGCCCCCGCCTCCCATCGCAAACACCTCCACGCACATGTCGTGGTGGTGCTGGTGGTGGTGCTGGTGGTGCTGGTGGTGGTGGTGGTGGGAAACGTCTCGTGGATGCATGTTTCAAAACATATTTCCAAGACGGATGAACGCAGCTGACTATGCCATCAAACGTTTGCAGGCTGCAAAGAGACACGTCGACCCAAAACAAACATGACAAGGGCAAACGCTCTCTGTCCGACTTAACCGTCCATTTATCTTCCCTCATCTGTCACATCTGTCTCCTCATCAGTTTTATTATCTCTGTCCTCAAACCTCCTTCTCTCTCTCTCTCTCTCTCTCCTCCCACCTGCTGACGCCGCCGCTCTCTTCCTTTCCCTCCATCTCCTTCCTTCTCTCCCTCCCTCCCTCCCTCCTCCTCTTTCCTCCTCCTCCTCCCGCTGTGCTCTCGACTCGCTCTCATTCCCCCTCGCTCTCACACTCAGGCAGCATCCTCCCCTCTCCACTTCTACCTTCACACTCACCTCTTCACGCCTCCCTCTCAGCTCCTCTCGCCGCCTTCCTCTCCGTCACCTACTAACACATATCATCTCTCACATCTCCCGGTCTGTTGTCCTCCTCCTTCCCTCCTCCATCTCTTCCCATTCCTTCCTCCTTCTCACACACTCAACCTTGCTGTCTTGCGCAAATGCACGCGTACAAACACTCATGCTGATTGGCATCCAAGGACAGAGCACCCTCTCTCCCAAACCGGCGACCAGGCGCTTTGATCGCGTGGTCGGGCTTCTTGACACTGAGCTCAGCTGAGGAAGAGGACGAGGAAAGAGGCCATGGAGCACAGCCACATCTTCCCTGTTTTTCCCCCAAACGGGAGCACCTGGAGCGCGGGGCAGAATCCCTCCGAGGTTGCCCAGGGATGCCCCCTCGGACCACTGCCTGTCATCTACTACAGCATTCTGCTCTGTCTCGGCCTGCCCGGTAAGAGTGTGTGTGTGTGTGTGTGTGTGTGTGTGTGTGTGTGTGTGTCATGTGTTTGTGGCTGAGCATATGCACGTCTCATTCTGTGTTAATTTGCTCACATTTCTAAATTGGAGCCTGCATCGCTGGTTTGCAGGAGTTATGCTTTGCATCTTGATTTGTTGTCCACTTGTCTGCAGAACTGAGTGAGTGCACCGTGCACGGCTGCTCCTCGGTGTCACTCTGTGCACACACACTGTTGATTTGTCATTCTGACCTTGTGGCTGTCACCCGTGCATGCATCCCTACCTCCTATGTATCTGTCTGCGCCTGTCTGGAGTTTCTTGGAGATATTCGAGCACAACAAAGAGAAAAAGCAGCAGCTGCATGTGCACAGCATTACTGAATCTCTCCTGATCCACATTTTGCAGAGCTCCAAAACAAGAAATCACAGTTTTTTTTTTACACGTGTGTTTGCATGACAAACTGTGTGAGCGATGATTCAGGCTTTGACCTCAGGGACAGATGTGTGGCTCTTGATGACCTGAATTAATGATGCCTCCTACTTGTGTCTTTACCACTGAGTGATTAGTCCATTCACAGTCACTGTCAGACCCATTTACTGCCTCTGTCCCACTGTGTGATCTATGAGCGCTGACCCGGTCTCACACGGAGAAGCAAAGCGGTGTGTGTGGCTATAAAACAGAGCTGGAGGTCAGATGAAAGAGGAAACAGTGCTGATGCCTCGTCACAATCTGCTTTAGCCCATCACCAGAATACTGGACTAGTCAAACAGCATCACGCACGACTGCCAAGTTGCATTATTTACCACAGATTTTGAGAAGAACGGTGCAAACAAGCAGTGACTTTTAATGTCGCATTTGTCCTAATCCCCAAGATTAACCAGCACTCTGAAGCCCTGAACCCTTTTCCTCGATAAGGACTTGGAGGGAAGGAGATGTTATCAACCACATAAGCTGTTGTGGTTCAAAACAAATCTGCAATGCAAAGTGAAAAGCTTTTGTGTGCCAAGACTGCAGTTGCTCCAGAGGTTTGCAGGCTTGTAAAAGTCTGTCTTTTTTGATCAGATCTCCCCTAACGATTTCTCCTGGACGGCAGAGCGAGTCCTGCAGCTCGGTCTGCCGTCGCTTCCTCTGGAGTTTTATTTGATTCTGCTGCTGAGTCGTCTCCACAAACGATGCCTGTTTAATCACGGAGTAACAATAACCTGAGAGCGCGAGGCAATCTTACAATAGTTGTCTGAATTAATGGAGGAGTTGAGTGCAGCAGCGAGTTTGACTTCTTCAATCATAATGACACAGCTCGCTCCACTCAAGCTGAATCATGAATGTTTCATGAGTGCAGCATGTGTGAGTAGTAGCAGCGTGACCTACAGACCTGCACAAATGAAGCACTGGCGGTGGAACGGAGGCTGTTATTTTGATGATCAGACGGCGTTTCATTCGTAGCAGCAACAGGGCTTCAGCGAGAGACCCGAACAAACTCCCTGACCTGCAGACAGAGCAGGGTCGAGAGGTTCGAGGGGAGGAAAAGCAAGATGAGGGAAGGTGATGAGAAAAGGGATTACGCACGTCAAGTGGTGGGAAGAGATTACAGCGTGACCCCGGGAAGTGATGAACTGGATAGTCTGCACAAAAGACGAATGAACGGGGAGAGGAGGACGGCAAGGACACCCAGAAGAAGCAGAACGGTGGAGTTAAGAGAGAGAGATCAGAGCACTAATAGAGAGAGAGAGATTAATAACAGCAGAGGCAGCGAAGTAGCACCTCTGAGCCCTGAGTGGGGCTGCTGCAGACGACGGAGCTGAAACCAATTGCCACATTTTTAATTAATCGCTAACTCGCTCTCCCTCTTCCCCTCTCTGCTCACCACGCCACACCGCCTGAGAACAGACGTGTGGCCGCATAGCAAACAGCACAATGAAGGAGCTGCGTGGCTCGCTGGGACGAGATGGAGGTGAGGCCTGCTGCGTGTACAGTACAGAGCGTCCGCCGGCCGACCGTCGGCGCCGTCGCAGCTGTTTCCCGTGAAGTCGGACGCGTTTTAAACCCCACTTCCTCAGGTGGTTTATCAGCCGAAACAGAAGCCTGAAGTTTGCCCAAATACGTCTGCATCGGAACGGTTTGCGAAATGTGCTGATAAGACGTCTGTACTGCAAGATAGTGCAGCAGGACACGAAGCCACTGAGCAGATGAAATGGAGTTCTAATGCAGCCAGTAATTAACAGTATATAAATGACATTTAGCCGGCCGTTAGGCTGACACAAGAGAGAGTTTTACCCAAACAAACAAAAGAAAGTCTCGGTGCAGTGAGTCTCTTGAGATGCATTATTTTCTTTGATGTCATGTCACAATAAACCAACTCCACTGCAGTTACTGAAGTACTTTAGGCTCCCAAAAACTTGATAAAGACGGTGACTTTCAGCCAAGTTTCAACCAAACCTTCTAAAAAAAATGTTCTTTCCTCTTATGCACGACAAAAACAACGATCAGTCGAGTGTGTTTTAGGTTTTTTGCAGCTTTCAGTCGACTGAAACCGGCTCCGGTGTCGTCGTGTGCTGGACACCACGAGACAAACTGGTGACAGCAAGTAGTTGTTTGGAATCGACGTGTGTGTGCACACGAGAATAAACGCACACATTCAGTCACTTAAGACGAGGCTCTCGGGATCCATCCTCCACCTGAGCACACAAACCCGAGCGTGTTCACGTCCTGCACGTCCACCTGCCTGCTCCTCACAGTTTGTGTCTGTTCAACAGTCGACGGTGCGACAAGTTGGAAAACATCTGCAGCTCCCAATTACCCGCCCATCCAAGGGGAAAAGGTCGGGAATGTTCCACGCTAACAACCCCTTCTTCCACATTGCAGTGTAGGCCAGGTGTCAGCCGGCGCTTAATGAAGAGATGGGCCTCATCGATTTCCAGTTTGAACTATCGATCTATTCAATCTCCGCCAGCGACAGGGCAGCTGTGACGGGACGGGGGCTTGTTAATAGATCCTATCGTTCTGAAAGTAATGGTTGAGATTAGTCGGAGCGAGCTGGAGGAAAGGATGCGGCGGTTTGTGGGGGAAGCAGCTCAAATGGAACGAGGTTGGGATGGTGAGTTCAGTTTAAGGAGGGAGACGAGGCAGAGAGGCCGGGGGGAGGCAGCAGAGGAGGGAGGTGTTGTTTGAGGCAATAAATCAGACGTGCAGTGACAGAGCCGACTGGTTTGTCATTCTCTGGACAACATAAATACATGGATGTGAGGATAGTTATAGAGCTGTGATCTGGACATTCCCCTCATTTAGCCTTTCTTCGAGCTCAGCTCCGTTTCTCTCCTCTCCCTCTTTTGTTGTTTTCTCAGAGCTGAAAATGTGAAAAATGGTTGAAGACGACCCAAGGGCACATCTTTAATTGTTAGCATTGTTTACGAGCCCTTTAAACGTGATGAGCAGCGTTTGTCAGCGGCGTCAGCCTTGATGCGAGGACATGAGGACAGTCATCTCCAAACCTTGACTCGGAGCGGCCTGTCTGTGAAATAGATGGCTGTTGAGGTGAGCAGGCAGCAGAGCACCGCAGTGGCATCGATAACAGCAGCAGCACACAGGCCTTCTTCTGCTCTCAATGTGCATCTTAAATATCACATCTCGTTCTCTCTTTTTATTATTAATCTTGCAGTAAGTTTTTCCCCCATAACCCGCAGCTCACACACTGATCTCTCAGTGAAATCTTGATTTGCAGCATCAGGGTTCTGCTTCGATTTGATGTGAATTCAGGCTTTAAAAACTGTCAGTAAAATCTTTTTTATTTTTTTCCTTTCTCTGTTGCTTTGTAGCAGGAATGAGCGCCTGGTTTTTGTTCTGGAGCATTAAGGAGTCGCCCTGCTTTACGTCCGGTCTGACACTTACAGAAGACAAAAGAGAAACGGTTGTCATGAAGAACAAAGTGCCTGTGACCTTTGAAGCCAGCTTTGATATTCACCCCTCTCTGTTTCCTCTATACGGCTCTGTCTGTCTAATCCTGCCCTCCATTCCCGCCTCGTCACGTGCTCTGTTTTTAACTCCCTGACCTTCCCTCAGACCACCGTTTCCTTCACCCTCCATCTATTTTCTCATCCCTCTGTCCTCCTCTGGTCCTATTAACCTCCAGATAAGCCATCGAAGCTTAACCTCAATTTCCTCAAATGATAGAACGGAGGGAAAAAAATCTTAATTGTAATGCCGCGATGCTCCGTCTCTTTACGGGGGACATAATATCGTTTTTACAGCATTCTGCCTGTTTTCTACGGGGCCCGTGAGACAGCCTGAGGACGGCTCTGGTTCTGAGGGGTTAAACTGTGCGGCGTGTCTGTCGACAGCCCGTCTGATGCGTCCCTTTAGCGGCGGGATGAGTCAGCCTCGTTACACACCTCAGGGAGCACGCTGTGCCTTCTCTTTTCCCGCTAAACAACGTCAGCGGCCTCGTCCCTCGTTATATTAGAGGAGCAGCGGGGGGAGCGGCAGCACAAAAGCACTCCCACACAAATAGACAAAAGGATCACCCCTGCAAACACACACACAGGCAGACGGACAAACACACAGCGGCCCATTATCTGCCCTGCAGGTTATTCTAATCCCCCCTCAGCTGGAGACACTTATGTCGTCTCTTTGAGAAAAAGAAAATAGGAAAAGATGATGAAAGTTTGCGCGCATTTTTGTGTCTTCTGTGCAAACCCTGCCTGTGCCAGCTCGTTCCTGCCGAAGCCCGAGACGACGCAAAGAGCAGGAGTCAATTGCAAAGAATGGGCAACCCAGTGGCAGGTGGCTATAGCTAAATGGAAATGTCAAGCTCGCAGCAGATCCCTTTTGTTTGTCCGTGGAGGGCCCTGCCTCGCTGGGGAGCTGAAACAGAATAAAGCTCAGCCAGTGACAGCCAACACCTCACTGTTTCCCTCCGCTCTGTTCAGCAGTTTGTGCACAAAGAGAGAGACAGTCGCAGAGCTGATGGGCAGAGATACAGTACAACAGAAGAAGAGAGGCGGTGGATTAAAGGGGTTGGATTTGCCGTGAATCTCCAAACTTCTCCTCATAGGAACTGATAAGAGGCTGCAGCTGGATGGGAGACAAAAACAAAATCAACATATCCCTCTGATGGATTGAACACATTTATTTCCCACAATGACGCCTCAGATATGAAACCTGTGACCACCTCCTGCACCTCAGCCTCCAGTCAATCTTCAAACAGCAAAAGGAACAAAGGCTCACTTTGAAGAACAAGAAAATAGGTTTTCATCCACAAAGTCCCAAATGTCTGTTGACTTTGCTCCTACATTACCCACAATGCAACTTAACTCAGATTCAGCTTTCTGTTGGTTTCGTTCAGCTTCTCATAATCAGATCTTCTGGACAAACTGTCATTCGCAAGTGAGACATTTGTGTGTCCAGACATGTCCGATTCGTGCTGGTTGCTGTGGTGACGGCGTAGTGTTGCCGGTGACACCGCTGAGATCTCTTGATAAATTATCCTCTCGGTTCCCTCCAGCGTCGCCTGTGCAGAACCCCCACCCTCCAAGGTGCCAGCAGACAATTACTTTCTGTCTGCGGACCGCCGTCCTCCTCGCTGTCCTCCGTGGCGCTCTGCTAGCAGCAGCGTGGATTCTGCTCGGCACTTCCGTCGCTCCGGATTCGACGCCGTCTTTGTGTGTCGCATTGTGAGCGACACTTTGAAATGAGGTTTTAGGGGCCAGAGCGCCGGCACCGAAACGCACCTGCAGAAATCCGATTGGAATTTTGAACAACCGTTTCCCAACATCAATCTGGAAATGCTAAAAAACCAGACTTGAGCTGTCATAGTGATGCTCATCAACATGGTTTCCTTTCAGATATAACGTCCATGTTGCTGAAACACAATCATGAAATTATGAACTCAAAACACGCAAAATAAATCTGCATGTCGTGGACAACTGTTGTGGAAATTTGCTCATTAAACTCTTTGAAGATTTCATATTTTCTAAAATATGGAGACCAACAGAGTTCATCCAGACGTCCTTTTATAGATGCACATTTAACCCCGTCATCAGTGTCTGTGCCAGATAACAACGGCTGAGTCTTTATTTCCAAGAACAAAAACCTTTCAAGGCCGTAAACATCTTGACCTTCAGGCAAGTCTTTCACAATTGTGCCGAGCTACATGAACACGAACATGAAACAACAACAAACGTAGATAATAAACGACAACCTACAAGCTCCAGATTCAACTTTTCTTTCACACAGAACCGTAGTCATGACACCAAGGGTTGATATCAGACTCAGAAATATTTAAACCTCATGATGCTGATGGTTCAAGTTTAAGCTAAAGTTTGAGCGAAAATCCGAACGGGGACGAAACAAAACCAGCAGCTGAAACGAAAGAATCGACACCACAGTCAGGATGGGGTTAACATGAGCCGAGGAGCGGTTAGCGGTTAGCGGCTAGCGCTGTGTGCAGGCGACTGAACTGGTTAAAGGTGTCGTTCACTCCGGCTTGTTGAGTCTCGTAAGCAGCTTTGACATCTCATTTATGGTTATTGATAGATTGGATGTCAATGAATTGGTGCATCCCTAATGATCTGTGTGTGTGTGTGTGTGTGTGTGTGTGAGTCTGACATGTGTTTGTGTGTGTGTGTGTTGTCTGCTGCACATCTTCAGTCATTATCTGGAGCCAGCTTTGTAATTTGTAATCAGCTGATAGCGGCTGAGGCTGTGAAGTGTGATGTACCAGACTCTGAGCTGCCATATTTAATCCAATCCCAGATCTATTACTGCAGAGGGCACACGCACACACACGCACACACACACACACACACACACACACACACTGCACGGACAGTGACGGCTGCTAAATGCATTAATGTCTGTGAAGCTATGATGCAACGTCAGAAAGATCTTTGTCTGAGGAAACAGACTGGACGTGGCTCCGACCTGCAGCAGCAGCAGCTTTGACTGGTGGAGCTCGGTTCGCGGGTACAGCGCTGTGTGTGCTTTTTAAATAGTCGTTAGCTAATAGAACAAGTACAGCATGAAACAGGAAGCTTTGGATAAACTGAAAACGCCTCGAATAAAGTCTTTGAATTTACACTTCATGTCCCATGTGCATTGAGAGCAACAGCTTGTCTGTTCACGTTCCTACAAGAAGAATGAACGCCTAAATATATGAGAAACTTTCCCAAGATTGCCCTAATGAGACTCCAACCAAAGTAAATATCAGACACCGCTCACATCCGACAGCTGTTATGGCATCAGTGAAGAGCCGGACTGTGGTCACCTGAGCGCTCCTCAGTCACCTCCGATTGGGAGAAACTATGCAGATGTGCTCAATAAAAGCTCAGACAAAGCGAAGAGATGCCAGTTAGTTCAGACGAGTTTGGCTTAAAAACCATCTTGGGCTGGACTGGATTCCTCCCAACACCTGGTCGCACGTGTTCACACTCATTAGATTTGCTGTTTAGCTGAGTTAAGCCTGTATCTTGTTTACTGTCTCCTCTTGCTTTGAACATGCCAGAAATTTTGCCAACGTGGGAACTTGGGAATAAAATGCAATATGTGGCGGCAGCAGCAAGCGATGCTACTCCCCTTGAAAGAAGCAGCAGTGAGATAAATCACATCCAGCTCTTTGTGTCTGCATTCTTTCAAGCAAAAAAAAAAAAGATGCCCTCCTGGACTCTACAGCTGTCCAGTGGAAACAAGACAGGATAAATGAACGGCGACAGAAAGTTGGCAACCTGGATGAAAGCGTATGACGCCACATGTTGGGGATGTGGGGTAAAGACTGGAAGACGGAGGCAGATGGGGAGTGATGGGGCGTCCTTGTGCTGTGCTTTAGGAGCTAAATTGCCAGCGGCAGGATGGCAGGCAGTAGTGAACTCAGCAGATTGCCAAACCCGCGACGCTGCACCTTGCCCTCCTGTTTTTGTTGTGGCTTTACTCTTTATTAGAGATAACGATTTGGCCAAAGGCAAAGGCAGGTGCTGCTGGAATTACACAGCAGGTGCAGATGAACTGGACAGAGAAGGGAGGAATAAACAGGGAGAGGACTCCAGAGCTGGAGAGCTGGACGAACATGCCAAACACTGTCTGGGAACAATGACAGAGTTGGATGTTTTTGCATATAGTGGGCAGAAGCTGGAAGAAAACAGCACAGGGGCAGAGAGCTGGCTCAGCCTGGACGTGGTTCTGGTGGTGCTGCTGATAATGCTGAAACATTATCCACCCGATTCAAATCCTCCTCGTTTCTGTGTGTGCTTACCGTGTCCAGCTTGTGCTAGCAGCTTCCGTACACGTGTTGCTGGCAGCATCTCTTCCTGCTCTGCATCTCTGTTACTGTCTGGATGTGTGTTACCTCGTTTCAATTACCTGCACACTAACACTCAATTTCTCTGTTTCCCTCCCCGCCCTAACCTGTACCCATTTCCTTTTCCCATCTCATCATACTTTTTCATTTCCTCTGTCTCCTTTCAATCAACCTTCCTGCACCCGTCCCCCTCCTAGCGAACATCCTGACGGTGGTTATCCTGTCCCAGCTGGTGCTGCGTCGTCAGAAGTCCTCCTACAATTACCTCCTGGCTCTGGCGGCCGCCGACATCCTCGTTCTGCTCCTCATTGTTTTTGTCGACTTCATATTGGAGGATTTTATCCTGGCCGCGCCGCTGCCTCCGTCATTAAACAGCGCAGTGCAGGTCCTGGAGTTCTCCTCCATCCACACCTCCATCTGGATCACCGTGCCGCTCACCATCGACCGCTACATCGCCGTTTGCCACCCGCTTCGCTACCACACGGTGTCCTACCCGGCGCGCACACGCAGGGTGATATTCGCCGTGTACGTCGGCTGCCTGCTGTCGGCGACTCCGTACTACTGGTGGCCTGAGCTGTGGCACAGCCTGCCCGGGGTCGGCGGCGGCGGCGGCGGCGGCGGCGGCGGAGGGGAAAGCAGCAGAAGAACGGTGGCCCAGCATGTCCTGGTGTGGGCCCACTGCACCACCGTCTACCTCCTGCCCTGCACCGTCTTCTTCTCCCTCAACGCCGTCATCGTGCGAAAGCTGCGCAGGCGCCGCAGCTGTTTCCGTCTGCGCGGCTACTCCACCGGCAAGACCACCGCCATCCTCCTCGCCATCACCTCCATCTTTGCAGTTCTGTGGGCGCCGCGCACCCTCATGATCCTCTACCACTTCTACTCGCCTCCTCCGGCCTCGCAAACCGCCGGCCGCCTGCTCCACATGCTCACCGATCTGGCCAACATGCTCGCGCTGCTCAACACCGGCGTCAACTTCTTCCTCTACTGCTTCATCAGCAAGCGTTTCCGGGGCATGGCGGCCAACGTGCTGCGGGCGCTGATCCACTGCCGGAAGCAGCCGCCGCCGTTCTACGCCAGCCACAACTTCTCCATCACGAGCAGTCCCTGGATCTCGCCAGCCAACTCCCACTGCATCAAGATGTTGGTGTACCAGTACGACAAAAACGGGAAGCCCATCTGCATTTCCTCCTGAGCCGCCGTCAGTCACCGGGGAACATATTTGGGCTTTGTCTCCGTGACGACCAGCTTTGCCCACGTGGGACTCTTTAGAGGCTTGAAAATGTCAACGGGTCCAGAGAGGGAGCGCAGCGGTGGCAGGTTAGCGAGCTCTGAGCGATAACAAAGCGGTCGGCTACCGAGCTGGAAAAGCAAACAGCAGATGCGAGTTTGGTGAAGCCTCTCGTGCTCAATAAAGTATTCACAAAGCAGCGACCGGCGTCAAATAGATGTTGACTGTTTCCACCGTGCAAAAAAAAAACAAAAAACCCGAGTGAGTGACTGATGCTGCTCACACACTGATGAAGGGAAATCACCACCATCCACCACTGATTATGAGCCACCATTCGCTACATACAGAACAACCACATCAACCCCTGGTGAAGCATCAGATTTACGACGGTTCTGTTCTGGATGCTGCTGCCAACGACGAAGAGCTTTGAACAGCTGTGTCTTTGTCTGCTGGGAGTCATTTCCAGAAAGCAAGGAGCCAGTCAGAGTCTGGCCACTAAACATCATCTCCCCCCCAGCGCTGATTCGCTCAGGCAGCACGTCCACCGTCCCTCCAGCAATGTAAAGCAGCTCCGTCACCTCCACGTTGACATGCAGAGGAGTCTCGAAGGCACGCTAAAGAGTCCTTTCTCCGACGTTCCACATGTGTGAGTTCATCGCAGCAGCGCAGGTCAGCTACAAGTCGGCGCTCGCTGCAGAAGTCATCGTAGGACAAGTAGGCCCTCTGCTTATTGTTGGTTCAATATCTATTAACGGTAGACTCGACTGTTAACGTAGCTTTGCAAAAACACAAGACAAAAAATATGACTTGGAGTCGGTGTGGATCCACGGTGTTGTTAATCTAGTCATGACATTTCCAGAACTAGGACGAGGAAATTTCTGCAGTTGGTAGATAGTCCTCTGTTAACTATTAATGGTCCTCACTGTTACCTGGGTGAATATAACGAATGTAACTCTTTAACCCTTTAGATTTCTAAGAAACTGAGACAAGAGAGAGACAGAGAGAAATAGAGAGGACGGAGCAGTCAGCTCTCCCTCCCTCCGGCTTGTTTTCTGCAGCAGTGAATCTGGTCTCAGGGCCGCGGTGACACATTTCATCTCTGCTCGTTCTGCTGCTGGCTGATGGCACTTCAGTAACACTTTATACCCAAACACAGTCACGTACATCAAATCTGTGTCAGCGCTGCCTGGTAACAAACCAGGAATCAGAGCACACACACACACACACACACACACACACACATATACACCTTGCACTGTATTGCCCACAGACAGAGCACACTGAGATCAATGCACATCCATTCTGCAGACACCTTGGGGCATTAACGGGGTTCATCTATCTGGTGAGAATGGAGCTGAGCCAAAGGGCAGATTTCTGCTAATACCTGCCTGGAGGGATCAGGCGCATCAGAGCTTTTTTTTTTTTTTTCTAAGGCTTTAAATCTGATGAATGCTCGGCGTGTCTGTCGTAGCCGATAAAGTCGTGCCCTCCAAACTCCTGTTCAACACTCACATGTTTGAGACGCTCGTGGGGGGCGACTGCCTCTGTGTGGTTTCTTTCTCCTGAACCGACTGCTGAAGCAAAACTGGATCAACTTTAAAGATACAGAGCGAGAAGCAGCAGCAGCAGCAGCATCTGTAGGCCGGCTAGCTTAACAGCCAAATTTGAAAGACTTTCACAAGATATTTGTGTTTGAATTTCCAAATTTAACAAATGTTTCGATAACGGAGGTCAACTAGAAATGAGTTTAACCCTCTGAACGCCGAGACCGCCTGCAGGATTATAACAATGTCCTGTTTAGAAGGAATCCTCGAGCTGCTCACATGTGACTCTATCTATTCTCTTCAAGAATTTGCAAAAAAACTAAGCCGAATGAAAACACGTTCTGTAGGAAAAACAGAAAGATCTGTGCTTCTCTACGTAACCGTGAAGCCGTCAGTGACCTCCAAGAGTCACGAGACAAAAAATAGAAACCAATTCAAAACGTTTCTGGTGTGTAAAGCCACGATTTTACTTCCAGTGTTGGCTGTTGTTTCCAGGTTTTGTCCGTTTTTCTACAACAAACAGTCAAAGAAATTCCACTTTTCTTTTTTTTCCCCATGTACTGCACAAAACCAAAAAAAAATGTCTGAGTTGTGTCTGTGTGCTGTTTCCATGGAGGTTCGTGCTACTAACATGTGAATAAAAATGTGACAGGAGCAAAGAAACACCAGAAACTGCTCAGAGTTCAGGAGGTTAAACACTTTAAGGTTCATCTAAATTCATACATTTAGTTTTATAATCCATCCATCAGCTATACCCGCGTTGTCCTGCAGAAGGTCGCGAGCTGCAGCCTGCACGCTCACGCTGCCCGTGCACGCTCATGCTGCCCGTGCACGCTCACGCTGCCCGTGCACGCTCACGCTCCTCGTGCACACTCACGCTGACAACCGGTTTATAATATTTAAACCCATTCTGCATGACTTTGGATGGAGGGACACCCAGAGGAAACCCAGCAGGTGTACTGAGAACATGCACACTTATAAACTAGACATGACATTTATAAATGATAAACTCATTCAGAACGAAATGTGCCGGGAGTTAAAACAAAAAACAATGTGTTCGTGTCACATGATCAGAATTCAGCTGTTCAACCGTGAGCAAGGACGTGATTTATAGTAAATACGAGTTTATTACGTTTACAGTTTATAAGCTTCCAGGTTGCACACGACACCAACCGAGGACATGCAGGCGTCAGTGGAAAACCACAACGCCGCGAGTTATCAGGCGAACAACAGGCGCTGAGATGATGTCGCTCTGAACGTTAAACCCAAACTTAGGAAAATAAAACGGCATCATTTAAACACATCTACCTACGCTGCAGTTAACTGGATAGAAATGTGACCGCCCAAAGCACCAAAGTGCTTCGCATTGCTACTTTCCATCCCGTACGATTTGAAACTGGTAATAACAGACTTTATAGTCACATTTCTGAGCTGTGTTCAGGTCCAGATGGACGTAGCTGGTACGATTATTTATTTTTTCATAGCAGGAGACGTAAGTAGGATAAACACTGAAAATGCTTTGAAAAAATAACCTCATGGAAACGCCTGAATGAAATTAAAAAGCTTAGAACATAAACTTTCTCCAGTCGTCTCGCAGGACGGCAAAGCTTCAGTCAAACCTGTAACGGTTCATAAAAACAACAAGTACAAACAGCAGACTGACTCCTGAGTGACTCGGTTCAGATGGGAGCTATCGCCAACAGTGTGAGAATTTAAGCTGTTATTGTAAAAAACAACATTTCCTTCGATTTCCAAGCGCAGATTGCAGCTGTTTGTTTTTCTGATTCCAGTCTTTTGCCCTCAAAGATCACTTGAACCAGAAATAACCTCCTTCTTTAACTTCCAACCTCCCGCTGTTTCATTTCAATTGTGCGCTCAATTTCTTTTTTCTTTTTTTTTTTGCTCTCCCAAAATGATTTTCTTCAGAGTTTCCAGTTGAAGGAGGGAATCGCTGCCACCTGCTCCTCACCTCCTCCCACTCGTCCCTCTTCGCTCCCACTTTGAGTCAAAAGCGCTCAAAGTTAATTCCTCAAGTGTCCTCTTTGCTCGTTAGCTGAATACCGCCGAGTCGTTTCTGCTGCGTGTGCATACTGAGCGTATCGCTTCGTCTTTTGTCATCAGAACATTGATCCGAGCAGTTGGGGACCTTGACGTGTAGCTGGTGGACGTCGAGCATTGTTTGATGGAGACGAACGGCCAGAAGGTCGATGATCAGAAAGCAGTCGGCGAGCTCCTTGACCCGCGCTCCGTCACAGTCGCGCTCGGCGGGACGTCGCATTTACATTTACAAATATATGCTTTAATACGAATCAATGTGGCCTAATGAGCGCGCTGTGATCATTAACGAAGTGCTAGTTTCTGCTGCAGCCCGCGGAGCCGCTGCCAGATCAATGTTGCCATGACATTCGTTTCACGTGTTAACCCGGTCCAGTGTTTCCTTCATGGTAATGTGACATTTGTGCGAGAGGCGGCGGCTCGCTGCCTCCCGGCCTCCGGGGACGGAGGCGGGCATGCCGGGAAACCAAAGCGGAGGGATGAGCCGCGGGTGGACGGAGTGTCACATGCAGGTGTGGCTTCCCTCCACGTGAGGCTGTTTGTGTTTGTGAGGGGGCCGAAAAATATTCCCCCCGTTGTGAGGACAAAAAAAAATAAATCTATATTTTCTGCAGCCAGATATTAAAAAGATAACCAAACACAAATCAATCAGAGGGGAAAATTGTATTTTGGCTCCGTGCTCAGACTCCTCTCTGTCTCTCTCCTCCACCTGCTCAGTGTGTGTGTGTGTGTGTGTGTGTGTGTGTGTGTGTGTGTGTGTGTGTGTGTGTAAATAAAGTTCATATTAGACAGAAAAAAAAGGCTTTACAAAGTGTTTGTGCCATAGGACCTGTAATGTATAAAAACCAGATATGTATTTATACCCAGTCATGATGAATATGATCACATACAGCACAGTGTTATCAACATATATCCTTGAATGTACAACTGATGCTTCTAGCATTTCTGTTGGTATTTTTCTGATTGTGATTTTCTACACGATAACTTTTTGGAGCAGTCTTTTACCTCTTCATGGCAGTGTTTCAAAGCTGTGTTTTTTTGATCGTACCGGAGTGATTGTAGGCTTGCATAATTCAGGTTTTGTTTTTTGTTTTCTCCTCCCTCCTAATGAATGTATCGGCTGTGTAAAGAGTACGTACTACTGTGCTGTGAGAACGTATGCAGAAAAGTGTTGGCTAATATTTTTGATGAACTAAATAAAGACGGGTTGAGATAAAGAGCTGCTGGTGAACTGCGTGTTTTGTTCACGCTGAGAACTCTTACCTACGGCGGTACAAGTAGAATACTGTGTCTTTTATTTTAATGGGACATATTATTTTTATTTTAATTTTCTATTTTATTTTTTTATTTTCACTGTGTGTGTGA